AATACTTTAACCTGCAGTTACAAATGCATAAATAATATTTTGATATTTTAAACATAAAACGTTGAATACTGTTATTTGAAATTATTTAAATAATAAAAAGAAACTTTAAGTGTGAAATTAAAACCGCCAGTAGGTGGCAGCAAGTCACTGTTAATAAGTGAGTCATTGCGATTGAACCGAATCATTTTAAACGGTTGATTTATTCAGGAACAAAACACTGTCATGTTGTTTAGAGGTGCAAAAAAACCAAAACAAAACTGCGTTTTGGCTTTGTTTGGAATTATTTTTGTTGCTGAAATAGCGCAAGATTCAAAGATTCAAAGCGTTTATTGTGATGTGCACAGTGAGGAAAACAGGTTTCCCTGTACAATGAAACTCTTTCTTTGCTGTCCACAGTGAATGCCAAGACAAGTGCAAAAACAAAATAAAAAGTAAAAAATAAAATAAAAACACACCCACAAATATATACACACACAAACATAATAAAAAATTAAATAAACCATGCCGCAGAAGTACAAATATAAACTATGTAGATATAGAAGTATAGACTATGTACAAAAACAGGAATTATAGTGTCTAAAACGTAAGTCTCTTAATTAACTTCTTGTTTATTGAACTGTTATAAAAAATCTATATCACATTTGTAATCATGGTCATTTTTGGAGAAAAACGGCACTCTTCGTGTAATATTGATTAACTATATAAAATGATATAAATATATACATTTTCTGCCCCATGTCTTGAATTTTGTGATCATTGTAAATGTATTTTAATAGACTGAATCATGCAGTGAAAGAACACACTCGCTCTAGTCTAGACGTAATGTATGCATGCGCTCTGTAGGGGTGTTTTGAATGGTTTTTACAAAGTACTCGATGAATGAATGCGTGGCGATTCTTTCTCGAGTGGATTCTGAACTTAGTTTTGAACACTGCATGCTTCAGAAACAGCTGTGCTCTGCTCGTTTCCAAATCCTTACACACACTTGAACCTAAAACAATCATTCATAAGATTCGAGAAGGTTGAAGCGAATCACAAGAGTGTTCACAGTGGCCTGTGTTTACATTAATCTGGCGTCATAAAAGCATTCTGAGCCGAGGTGAAATTACAGACTCAGCCGAACACACAAGCGCTCTTCAGCTCTTCTTCATGAGTGTTTGAGTGTGCGGATAAAAACTAGAGTAGAGCGCCATCTGCTGTTAAAATATAAGCTCAGAACCCATTCCAGAGAGAACCGCCATGCATTCGGAAGATCGATCCACGAATCGATTCTGCATCGATTTATCGTCGCAGCCCTAGTGTAGAGCTGCACGATTCTGGATCAATTTAGAATCACGATTTTTTTGTATCAAATAGAGATCACGATTCTGAACTAAACAAATATTAATTGATGAAGTCTATTTAAAAGTGTTAAATTGAATGAATTATTAGACATTTAAATATAATGTATATTTATATGTATATGTGTATATATATATATATATATATATACAGTGGGGAAAATATTTATTTGATCCCCTGCTGATTTTGTAAGTTTGCCCACTTACAAAGAAATGAAGGGTCTGTAATTTTTATGGTAGGTTTATTTTAATGGAAAGAGAGAGAATACCAACCAAAAAATCCAGAAAAAACACATTATATAAAGGTTAGAAATTGATTTGCATTTCAATGAGTGAAATAAGTATTTGATCCCCAAGCAAAACATGATTTAGTATTTGGTGCAGAAACCCTTGTTGGCAAGTACAGAGGTTAGACGTTTTTTGTAATTGGTCACCAGGTTTGCACACATCTCAGGAGGGATTCTGGTCCACTCCTCTTTACAGATCCTCTCTAAATCCTTAAGGTTTCTTGGCTGTAGTTTGGCAACTCAAAGTTTCAGCTCCCTTCACAGATTTTCTATAGGATTGAGGTCTGGAGACTGGCTAGGCCACTCCATGACCTTAATGTGCTTCTTCTTGAGCCACTCCTTTGTTGCCTTGGC